TTGTGCCTTTACTCTTTATTGGTAAAGAGTTGAGGTTATTGTGAAGTTTTATTGCAGTGTTTTATGGCTTGATTGTTCAGATTTTATTAGTGTATTATTTTTTAATCTAATATTATTTATTTCTTTGTGTACAGTGTCAAGTTTTGCAATCCTAGAGAGACTTGCTGGCTGTATATGGGAGGGATATAAATCGGACGAATGAGCGTAGCTAGTGGGGGCGGGGGACTGTGCAGTCCCAGCTGTGGGTAGGCTCCAGTTCCCATGAACCCCACCCAGCATGGGAGATAGCCAGGGATGATGAGAATTGTAATCCAGCTGCATGGGGAGGTTGCAGACTCATCACCCCCTGACATCTAGGAATACTGCCCAAGTAACTGTTGTATAGGTTGCACTGAGCATCTCCCACCATTTCACGCCACCCATTCTGAATTTTTGCGCCAGTTGTGCCCACCGTCTCCCTGGTGCAAGTCAGCCAGAGAGAGGCATTGTTCAGTTCCAGATCCATTCTGAAGGCAGCTCTCCCTAGTGAAGGGCCGGCAAACTCACACCCCACAGACGCGTGGCAATGAGAGAGCCCCTGGAAATGCCAGCGTGCAAAACGTCAAAAATGTCCAGTTTTGCAGTATGGAATTTATCTCAAGGGCTTCGCTTCAAAATTCAGCCTTTGCATTTCAAAGTCAGTTTGTCCAACTGGACCCGTGTGGTGATTTTTGACGGTCACATGCTACTGGATCTCTGGGGGTTAGAACTTGGATGCAGAGTTGCACACCAGGGGAGCGCTCGCTACTGGAATCCCCTCTGCGAGAACACGGGGCTGTGACTGCGCTGCGGAACCCTGGCCGTGCCTCCACGGGGGCCTGGGCTCGAGCCCCCACCCCCAAGCCAGGCTGAAACCTGGCAGGACAGCTGCTGCCAGCCTGTGCAGGTGGAACGGGGCTGCCCCACTTCAGCCCCATGGCCGTTCCTCTCTGGGTGTGCGGTGGACTGAGAAACGTGAGAGCGCCTTCCTCTAGCGCTTCCCCGCCATGAGTCGGAGGAACCAGCCGAGGAGTGTGGACTGAGCCAGGAGGCGGCGGGAATGCCTGGTGGGCGGTTGCTGGCCCCTGCTTGCCCTGCGGACTGCCTGCGCCACGTGCCCGCTTGACCCGCAACCACAACCTTGTACTTCTGCCAGTGAGTTGTGGTGAAGGAAGCAGCCTTTGCGGGTAGCAAGGAGAAATGCACGCAGCCAGGGCCGCTTCTCCTCAATGGCTCGCTCCCTCACGCCACTCCCTTTCTCATGTAACAGGGACGTGGCCTGCCCTGTGCCAGGGCCCAAGTGCCCAGCCTCCGTGCCTGCCTCCTGGTTCCCTGCTGCTGCAGCGGGCTCTTGTGCGGAAGGAATGCGTGTGGCGGGTGGGGAAAGCTCGGGGACGCTGTTCGTCTCTCTGGTGGTTTCTCAAGGGTGCTTGTCGCTTGACCAGCGGTGGAGGAAAAGGCTTTTTAAACCTGAGACGATTGCTGGGTAGGGGTGCCTAGTGCGAGAGTAAGCCCATTCATGGAGAGACCTTTCCGTCGACTGCCAGGCAAGCATGCTGGGGATTCTAGTCCAGCACAACCAGAGGGTGGGAAGGCCAGAGAGGACGTCTTCCTTCTGGCTTGTCCTGGTGCCTGGAAGAACGCAGCAGGAGGCGAGGCTGGGGGTGAACCGTCATGGCAAGGCAGCTCTGGAAGGATCTCACTGGTCAGAAGGGGGCTTGGGAAATCCCCTGTGGCACGGGGCAGAGCCAGGCAAGAAGGGGGCTTCCCAGAGGTAGCGCTAAGGCGGAATGGGATGAGTTAGGGGTGGAAACTGGAGGTTCACGGATTTTGGGTCCCCAGTATGCGCTACCCGACTGAACACCACTTCACTAGCTCATGAAGCAATATTCCGTTTGCACTCTTTAGTTGGATAATCGCTCTTTGAAGAATCCCAGCTCCAAGCCGTGGCGTTTCCTGTCCCTTGCCTTGCGTCAGAAGATGCTTCCACTGGCCAACTTTTGCTTTGGTCCCAAGCAAACTGTTTAGGGGAGAGACTCTAGTCGGCATCCGAGCCACCCAGTGGGCTGCCCATTAAACTGATGGTCCAGTTGCTGCTAATGCACCATGGACTGGAGTGAATGCAGGCCCAAAGCTTTTATCCATTTAAGCATCTTTAATATTTTACATTGAGAGAAATAGAGATCAATGCCTTGTTTATGGAGCAGCATTTATGGAGAAACTGGTCAAACACTTTTCTGCAACTCGTTTCCTAACCAAAGTGGAATTCCCAGGAGGACGGGAACAACGGAGAGAGAGAGAGGAGGAGCCAGTGTTCCCCACCCCACCCCACACCACAGCAAGGCACAGCACATGTCAGAGCGCCCTGAATCCTCAGTGCATGAGGGGATACATTAAGGCTGAGGAAGCAGGCGTACAATCTGAAGGAAGAGACGGGGGCCTCGAGTCTCCCTTTATTTATTATTTTCATTTCTATACTGGTTTGAAGGGGTCCCAAGTCTGAAGGCCTCAGCCCAGTGTGAGTCTCTGTTCTGGCAATTCCTCAATGGCAACCTAAAGCTGCACTGAGCCAGGCTGGGCTCTTGTCTGGGACACGGAAGAAACTGTCCTCCTAATGTGGGACACAACCCTCCCACGGAACTCCCCGCCACATGATGTCTCCGTAGGAACTGGCAGCTCCTCTTTCTGTTCTTTAAGAGAACCGGTTTGATCACGGCAGTTCCGCAGACAGCTCTGCATGTGTGATTTGTTCATCACATCGCCTGGGATGAGCGAGGCCCACTCAGTCATTCGGCACTTAAGATGAATAATTAAAAAAACACTGCGTAATAGAAAACAGATAAACCACTGGAGCCACAGGTCATAAACCAGCATTCCCTTCTCTCCCTGGTATGAGTTATGGAAATTTCCACACCTGGCAAAGCCTGGTATTTAAATTAAAGTGTGCGTGCGCACAGGCCGGGCAGGGGTTCCATCGGTCACAACGCTGCAGGGCCCAGCAATCCCTTCCTGCTTTCCCACAATGGGTTAAGTGCAGCACATGAGGCTGCTTGCCTCTTCATACGGAAGCCAAACCTTATGGGTGTGCAGCCCGTGGTCTAAAAGTTTAAAAGGAGGGAAAGTTTTTAAAAAGAGGAAGCACAGGCATGCCTGAGAAATGCCATGAATATAACTGGGCACAGAAGAGAGGAAAACCTGCATTGCTTGTCACTAAATATTACAAGAGGAGAGGAAAACAATGAAGGTTTAAATAAATAAAGCAAAATACAGATGTTTAAACAAAATAAAAATATTTAAATAAATATTTAAATTGAACACCCATTTCAGATCAAAGGCTTTTCTGGAGGCAACTGCCATCTGATGTACATGTGCAGAGTGCAGGATGTGGAGATGGTGGAATCCCAAACTACAGGAAAACTGAGCTCCCCGCCAATAGAAAGTCAGCACAGGAGGAAGAGGAGCTTTATCCGTTATGTGCTTGTCTTCTATCTGCAGGGAGTGTGCGTCTGTGTTGCATGGAGGAGTATTTAGAAGCAGGATCGCTCACCCGCAATATGAAGCGGCACAATCCATTGCATCACTTCACTGGTGAAAGAATAACCTGCTCTCTGTACGCAGGTGAGGTGGCGGCATGGGCAGGACCGCACTCCCAAGTGCTTGCCGCCGGGGCTGGTTCATGTCCCTCACATTTTAAAAACAGCAACGGTTCGCCACACCGTTTCTGGATCAGCCAGCTTCCTGCTGTGCAAATTTTCATCTTGCAGGGAGTTATTTACATGGGAATAGCTTTTAAAATATGCACCCCAAGTTGGAGAAGGAAAGGCACATGGGACATGCTCAGAAACATTAATCCTCCTTTCCCCCCTTAACGCTGCAAGCAAAATGTTGTGCCATTAGAGGAAAGGAATTCTGTGCATGCTCAAAACTTTGGAAAAGGAAAGGTGGCATTTATTTTCCTGATGGGCCTTTTTAAAATTTGTGCTTTAACTTTTGCCCACAACTTGGGGGGGGGCTTCTCCCCCCCACCCTGCTGAGCGACATTAAAAGACAAGTTTGCAAAGCGACATCAGGCAACAGAATACTGCAAGCCTCCTCCCAGCGCTTGAGCTGCCGGTGCCGGGAGGGGCGTCCCCGCTTGGCTCTTCCGCACATTATGCGCCGGGCGGGAGCCGCGCAGGGGCCGAGGGCAGCCACGGGCTCGCGTGAGCACACACCCAAGCCGCTCATCGGGGGAGCGCTTCCCGGCTCGCTCCTTGGGGAGCCCCTGGACCACAGCGTCTCCATGGCGACCCTGCCTCCTGCATCCCGGAGCGCCCTGCCAGGACGGAGCCCAAGCTGCTCTCCTCCCTCCCTCCCTCCCTCCCTGCCAGGGTGGGGGCTGATACTGTATAGCGGCTCCGGTGGCCAATAGCATCGCAGAGATGCCAGGTCCCGGGGAATGCGCTCCTCTCCGCCGGCAGTGCATTGCAGGGCGTGGGGGATGCCCCCGAAACTTCAGCTGACCCCTGCCTCCAGCGCGGACTGAGCGGGGCTCCACTTCCCTCGCCGAGCTGGACCCAGGAAGCGGCTCAGCCATGACATTCCCAGCCTCCGCGAAGAAGCCACAGCTGCGCCGGGAACTCACTCCAGCTGCTGGCTGCATCCACCGGGGAAGTTTCGCCCTTCAAGTTTCCCAAGTTTGAGGTTTGTTTCTTCCTTCATGATCCGAAGCAGCAACAAGCCCCCCTGGGTGCAGCCGCTGCCACGTCCTTCCCCCTTCCCCCGCCTCCCTGCCTCTCTCCACCAGCCCTGCAGAGCAGACCCGAAGGAAGCATCTGCCCGCCAGCCTCTCCTGTGTGAAGAGTCGAAGATGTGAGCCTGCAGGGGAAAGGACTGGGCGCATCGCTGCCACGAGCGGATTGCTCCGGGCTCCTCGCCGCTCTGGTTCCCGGGGGCTGAGCTGGCCCTTGGGCGGCTCGGTCGCATGCTGCCCATCGCTGGCGATGGCGATCCAGGGGATGGAGCTTTGTGCCATGGCAGTGGTCATCATCCTCTTCATTGCCGTCCTCAAGCAGTTTGGGATCCTGGAGCCGATGTCGATGGAAGGTAACTAGCGCATCCTCCCTTCTCCGGCTCTTTGGCAGCTGCCTCCCCGCGTCCCGGCCCCACATGGTGCCGGTGGGGCAAACGCCTGCTAGCTCAGTTGGGTCCATCCTCACTTGCCTCCAGGCCCCAGCCGGATGGACCTGAGCATCGCTGCTGAGCCACAGCACTGACTCGGCTTTAATGTTCTGGTGGCTCTCCACATCTCATGCCTTTCCTTTGCCCCAGCTAACTGCGCTTTCTTTGGTGATCTTTGAGAGCATCCTGAGGCAAAGGGTTGGGGTGGGGGGGGGGCTTCAGGGGAAGCTGCTTGGTCCCAGTGGGACTTTCTGGTGGGGCAGAGGAAGAATCGCTGCCCTGCCTTGCCCTGCCCTACCCTCCCTTTCCTTGGAGTCCACAGTGGCTGCAGGCCAAGTGTTCTTCTCGGTATCCAAAGAACCAAAACGGATACCCTATTAAAGACCCAGCCCCGGTGCTGTGAATCGTTCAAGTTTCACAGGCCGTTTTCTCAAGGCAGTTGTTAAACAAAGCAAAATTAAGGCAATATCGGTGAGAGAAAAAGATGCCTAAAAGGCTTGGGGCTTAGCCCAGTGCTGCGAGAGAGACGAGGCGGCTGCTGGATGAAACCCCCGCAGGCAAATCAACCACAGGCCTCCACCTTGGCCTGGTGCGAAGGAGGCACGACCGAACCTTGTCTGAAGGGAGGCGATTTCGGCTGCAGCAGCCCAGATGAAGCTGAGCCATCTGTGCGTGGAGGGGAGGGCACCGGGGCACCCACGGGATGCCGCCACGTGGAGGCTCATGTCTGAGAGACGCAGCATCCGCAAAATAAATCATCTTCGATGCAGCAGCCCCTCTGTGGGGCTTCCCTGGATGGTCCTCTCCCCCACTTTGGAAACGCCGAGTGCTTTTGCTTTCTGGGGAGGGGCCCTCGGGCTGCAGCTCTGGGCAGGACCCATGCTCTGCATGCAGAAGGTGCCGGGTTCAACCAGCGGGCCCTCGGTGAGAGAGCTCTGTAGTCGCGGTGCCCCAGCCGTCCATCACTTGGGCGTGTTGAGATGTGTTTGACTCCAAGCCTTTCGGCTCCAGGTGGCATGGCTCCGCGCCAGGAAAACAGGGGGCTTACGTCCAAAGCCTTTGGGGGCATCAGCCTGGAAAGGCTGATATAGTCATTACCGAGGTCAATGGCCCAGTGCAGCTACAAGGCAGCCCCTGGTTCCCCTTCTCCCAGCCCTGTCCTTGAATGCCCAGCACCCCACTCCCAAGTGGACCAAGGCCCAGAATCTGAGTTTCAGGAGAGCAGGGTCTGGCTTCTTTCCCGGCCTCCACCAGCTGTGTGTCATTCGACATCTCCTCCCACATCCACAGGCCCGAAACAAGAACAACCGTGCGTTGAACAACCAGGCTTTTGCCTGCTCCTGGGCCCCTTCTGAGAGTGTTCCCAGCTTCAGATTTGCTAACCTGAGTGCAAAGTTTGGTCCTGCGGTTTGAGTGTCGTTAAAAGTGCCCGTGACTGACAGGTCTAATCGCTCATAGGACACTCTGGAGACAGATGATGCTGAGGCCTGGAAGTCATCTGGGAGAGGTTTTGCTACCTGGGATGTGCATCCATATTTCTTTTTTCCTGCAGTCAGACAAATCTCCCCCATCAAGCAAATCTATAGATTATTGCTGTGGTGTTATTTAAAGTTCTGCCAGTCTGGTTTTGCAAAGAGGAGAGTCGCACATGGGTACACTTTATGCACAGCAATTGTTCCTTCAGGTTACTTCAGCTCTGCCCAAAATGAGTGCCCATTTGCAGCCCAAGTTTTGCAGCTGCAAGTAAAGAGATGTATACAGAGTTGCAAGCTCATGTCCTTCCTGAGATTCTGTAGGTGGGTTTTCTGCATGGCTACGCAAGTGTTGTGGGTCATTATTAGTATTATTTATTTCATTTCTATAGTACCCAAAGCTCTGGACAGTTTACAACAATGTATAAAACAAAACAAGACAAGACAAATGACATAAAGCAACCCTGTTAAAATAATTAAAAATACAATAAAAAGACCCAACAAGAAGAAAAGGCACTAGGATAATTCCCCTCAGGCCATGGATAACCAGGGAAATCTTTAAAGGCTCTCTTGACCTGGCACTGAAAAGGTAGCAGATTTGGCGCCAGGTAGCAGGGAGGTTGCTCCAAAGATGGGGGGGGGCACAGAAAAGACCCTGGCCCCCAGTTGCCACCCTCCAAGCCTCTTGCGGGATTGGCACTCAGAGGGAGGCCCCAGTGAGTGTTGTGTCTGGGAAGATCAGGGTGCAGAGGGGCACCCCGACATGTTTTGCGATCCTAATATGGAGAAGAGGGGCACCAGGTACTGAATGGAGATGTTTAGGCGGAACACATTTGTCCTGCTAGAAGCTGCAGCTCAAGAAAAAGTGGGGAAGGGAAATTCAGATGTAGAATCTCCTAATTAAGGAGTCAGAAGCTGGAGGAAAATTTATCCTGGAAGTTTAGAGAGTTGTTAAGAATCCTGAGTTAAGTGGATGCAATTTTAGAAAGTTCTGGGTCTGGAATTTGTTAAATGAAATAATAAAAAGTGCCTCCGCGTCTGCGCAAAGTGCATTTTAGGAACGAAGTCCTGGAGCGATCACGCGCATTTCCTGTAAACGGCAAGAAAAGGCACTAGTGAAATTTGCCACTCCTCTTTTCTCACTTCTGCCACTAATGTGGGAAGTCAGCTTCTTCATTCCTTAGTTCCAGAAGTGGAGCAGCTTTGGGGATCTTAAGAGAGACACACTGAGAAAAACACAGGGAGGCCAGAGAGACTGGCCACTTGGCCTGTTTTGTCCCTGCGTGTATTAACCTTAACAGAAATTGTCCCTCAATGTAAGTGGCAACTTCTTAACTACCGGCAATCTTGTGTTGCATCTGCAAGGAGAATCCATCAGGAAATCCATCAGTATCATTGCCAGTCCAGCTGAGTGCATAAAACTCCTAAATGGGATTTATTTAGAAGGACCAACCAAAACATGCAAAGCAGTAGGCACACTCCTGTGCTCATAGAAACCTTCAGGCTGGATGGGAAGGAAGGAAGGAAGGAAGGAAGGAAGGAAGGAAGGAAGGAAGGAAGGAAGTTTTTCTAGGTAGGATGTAGACACAGGCTTCCACCATGGGCAGAAAATTCTTAGTTCTCTCCCTGGATTATGATGATGATGATGATAATGATGTTTTTGAGGTGGGTCCTAGTTAAGGTATTGTTTTTACTATCCTTGTAGGGAATAATTATAACCTGAGCCATGTGTACGTGTATGAGAGGTAGGTGGGCAATCTAGTGAAAGAACCAAGACAATTACTATTTTTAAAATTATTATCATAAATAAAGGCTCACAGTCTACCCCCTTAGCTTATCACCCTGAGGGCTGGGCCCACACCTTTGGGTCCGACTCACGTGTGTAGGGCCTCGAGGCTCCATCACCCTTGAAAGAAAGTAAGCGGCACAACGCTTTGAGTGAGCAGGGACTTCGCAAACATGATTGCCAGATTCGTGACGTAGCGGAGTGAAAATGCCCGAGAACGCAGCTCTGCCCAGTCCCAGTCTGTCGGGGTACTGGACAGACCTTCCCTGCACTGGCAAGTGGAGAAGGCAATGACCAAAGCTTCTAAGCTTCCTTCTGTTTGTGACAGAGGCGTGTGGAGGAAGACAGAGAAAGACAAAAATCACCAAGCAGAAGTTGGAGAGCCTTTTCCTTCTTTTTTGATGGGGTCTCGGCTTAACTCGGGGAGTGAACAAGTAGCACCCCCTTTCCAGTTGATTTGCGTTGCGAATTAAAAGCTAAAGGTTTCAGCTTAGCAAGCTGTACAAGTGCACAGTCGGAAGGAAGTATTTCCGAGTTCGATGGCACTAACACCCAAGTGACTATGCACAAACTTTCCATCATTGGGCAGGATTCATCGACTCATAGAAAACTAGAGTCCATTGACATCATTCCACTAATACGGATCATGTTGCAGGAGTAAAAGGGACCGCTAGCATTAACTCGCGAGAGAAAAGTCCCAGCAAAATCCACTGAGCAAGCGGATGCTGCTGGGGTTCTGCGGGAAGCCACGGGTGGTGTTCCGTACTTTGTGTTGGCGGGAATTGCGTTGGAGCGCGTACCCCGCGCCCTGAAATGCACAGGGGGGTGGCTGGCGTTGGCGCATATGCTTTGACTCTCCGCTGTTTATGTTGCCGTCCTTAACCAGAGCGTGTGCTCTTGGAAGGCAGGTAATAGAAACCCTTGCATGCCGGCGGGTGAGGCTTGGACACTCTTTCAGGCACGTCTAGGCTGTCCTGATGAACGCCTTTGCATCACAGCTGACTACTGTTTATGGCAACCTCACAAGGTGCGCCAATTTGTTCTGCATTACAGATGGGATGGAGGCGGTGCCTGGTGTCCTGTCACAGGCCACATGGTACGTTCACAGCTGAGGAGAGCACCAAAGCTTTGAGTGGAGAACTTTGCGCCTCCCCTTTGCGCTCCTCCATTTCCCAGTAACATCTCCTTGGGTATCTTCGTCTATCCGGGCCCTGTGCAGCCAGTGCCTGCAGCGCCAGAGGGGTCAGTGCCCACAGAGTTTATGGAAATTAGTAACCTGGAAGGCAAACTTCTTTGCTGCAGTCTTAAATTTTAAGTCTTAAATGGGATCTCTTTGCAGGACCCCTCCAAGACAACGGACTCTCCCCTGGGTTTGACGGTGCCACCTGCATTGCAGCGAACACCCAGCTAGGCCCAGGAGAAGCCGTGGCACCCGCAAGCAGAACCTCTCCGAAATTTCTGCCCTGTGTGAGAGCAGGGAGGCAGGCTCGGGTGCAAAGAGACACCCCGGAAGACGCCACCCCTTGGTCAGGTCAGCCCTTCCAGCAGCGCTCCGGGTGGGTTTAGTGCTGCTCCTGCTGTGGCACATCCTATTTTTAAAATAAGCTCAGAGTTGCTGCATCATGCCCGGCCTTGCTCTGACCTTGCTGAAGGGGACCGTGTGACGC